CCTTATCAGTGGTAACCAATAATGTAATACCAGTCACAGTCATTTACTTTAGACCACCTTGGTTACCATTTAGCTGACTCTTTATTCATTAGCCTGTGACTCGTTTTGTCACTGGTATTGTGATGGTGGCAGTTTCATTCAACTTAGCTGGTGTTTGTTTATGACATGTTGTACTATGCCATGGTTCACGACCATTCACTCTTCTGCCATGTTGTGTTTTTGATCTCAGATGGTGAGAAGATTGCTGATGAAGCAAACTTGAAGTGAAGATGGTAAAACAATTTGGGAACTACACAAAAAAAACAAGAATCCTTTCGAATAAAGAATTAACTCTGGTTAAAAATGTAACAATGATTTGGTTTATATATAATTTGTTGTATGCAGCAGTTTTAACTCTTCTCACTTATTGTTATAATCAAATGACACTGGGGGTCCCCTTCAGAGTCTGCAGCTTGTCTTAGCAGTAACTTAAATTTCTAAGTACTTGTCTTCATGTCCGGCACAAGGTCTTTGGTCAGGAGGTCTTGGCAAATGATGCGGATTCCGGAAGCAGTGTTGTAGGGACTCTCTGTGTGTCTCTCTCTGCCTTTCTTCTGTTCTCTCTGAGTCCAAAATCTCCAGCTTATATTGTGTCCTGCACTTGGCAGGGGTGGGGTTGACTAGGGTCCTGGTTTGGTTGTCTTCTACCCTAAGTATCAACCTTTTCTAAATTTCCATATAGAAAAATACGTTTACTCAAGTGGTTTTCAAATTTAGGGTTGTCCAACCCCCTTTTGATAGTAGTCAGAGGGATCAAGCTACCCCTTAACTCCTATTCTCTTTACATTTCACCTCATACCATTGCTCTATATATGCAGTGCTAATCTCTCCCCCCCTTCTCTTTCTTCTCCCACTTTCTCAGCAGCCAACCTCAGCCCACTTCCTGAGTGACAAATCCAGCTTTCAGATGGCGCAGTGAAGACAAAAGGGATTTTCAATCATTAGTTCTTATCTATCAGCTTTGTCCCATGCGGGTGATTTTCAATCAACCAGACCACTCAAGAATTAGAAAAAAAAAGAAAAATCTATTCACTCTGTCATACATTTTTTACAATCAACAGACCACCCAGCCTTGTTGTCCATGGTCACTTCAAAATAGTAATTAATTTTTCCTTACCACTTGTATCCCAAGGAATCCGAATTAATGTTTGGATATAAAATTTTCTCTGGACGAATGTCCATGAAATTATAATGATGAACACATGGGGGTACCATTGTCTGGGTGGCTGATTTGAAACAGATGTTTTTTTTTTTCCTTGTCCAGAGGAATCGTGAATGTTATTTCAGTGTCCACCCGGATTTCTTATCGCCAGCATATGTTTTTATTTTATCTGACATCTTCATGGATACCTTAATTGTCTCTTTCTTACTGGTGGAAAGTGGGGAAGGGTGGGTAATCTTGGATTTTGCTCAATCTGACTGAATTTTCTAGTTAATCTTGGGTTCAATTTTCCTTGGAATTATTTCAAAAACATGATTTCTTAATGCATTTCATGTTTTTTTCATTTTTTCTTTTCAGCTTTTCAATCCATCTTCCTGAAATTTCAACAATTGTCATCCAGTTAGTAGACTCTCTCTCTTCTTCTTTCTTTCTCTCTTTGTTTGATTAACCTCCAGAGATCATGGTGTCACAATAATGCAAAAGTAAAAAAGCAACATAAAAAATCTATATGTTTATGAAAAAGATGCACCAAAATCTAGATGGAGCACCTTCAATTGGAATTCATTGAATTCAAAAGAGCCACTCCAACTAGAGTGGCCCAAATATTCTAAATTGTATCAAATTAGTTCAAAGGAGCACCATTAAATCTGAAAATGAGCAAATTTCCCCTCTTTTTATATCTTTATTTTTTTTTTAGTTTTATCATGAGCCCAAGACTAGAGGACCCTCTAGTCTTGGGGTCACTGGCCTGCAGCACATACTAGTTTATATATAAATCTGGCACTGGGTTGATCTAGCATTTTGAACAGGGTGAAGTCTGTATGACAAAAAAAAAAAATATAGGTCAAAGACATTTTACTTAGATGAAAAATAAAATTATAAAATTTTGCTTTTAACATTTGGATTATTTGATTTTTTTTTTTTTTTTTTTGGGTGTTTTTTTTTTTTTGTAATAAAATTTCTTGATCTATATTTAAAATGCTTTTAATTACAACTTACTTGAAGAGAGAAATGAGGCTCAAGCCTCTTGGTGACCCCCCCCCCTCACCTATGCACATATAAATGTAGATATTGAGGACAACATCCAGTGGCAACTATCTATTTCATGCTTAAATGCAATCATCAGGCCTGACAGTTGCGTTTAAATATGAAACATGAGTGTTGACTTCAATGTCCACTTTTATACTTACTTACACTCTATCCCTGATATTGAGTACTTTAACCGATAAATATAGCATACCTTAATACTATATTTTTATCATATATATATATATATATATATATATGACACCACTTAATGATTGGAGCAAGGAAAAATGATCAAAAGAACAAGGTGTTCAATGTTGCAATATAAATCTACAAAGAATATATATATAAAAAGAAAATTAGTGAAAAATTGAATTTATATATATATATATATATATATATATATATATATATGACAATATATAATTTTATATATCAACAAACAATATTTAAAAAAGCATAAATTATGAAATGCGTCACAAAAACCTTTTTTCTAAATACACACACACACACACATATATATATATATATATATATATATATATATATATATATGGCTTGAGATTAATGTTGCCCTGCAGAAGATAGAACATTGCTTTGCGACAACTTGTTAGCTTTTTGGGGACAATGTCAGGACAATGTAAAATTTTTAATTAAAAATTCTTTTATATACATTATGAAAGCAGCTAATTTCTTAAAATAAAAACAAAAAACAAAATAATAATCCTTATTTCTCACCAATGTTGGTAGCTTTTAATAAATAAAAAACATACACACCCACCCATGCACTTGGAATGCCACTTTTTCAAATTGTTGAATGAAAAATGAAAGTTGAAGGACTTGCATTTTAATATTTGTAATTTTTTTATCTCAAAATGTGAAAAAAAATCGTGGATCCAAATGTTGGAACAAATTTTGTTTTAAGAAAAAAGTTTATTTTCTTGCTTTATTTAAGCAAGAAAATAAGCTTTTTTTCTGTCAATTTTGGGTTAAAAATCTTGAATAATCTGTTAACATTTGTGCATTACATTTTATGCTTAACATAAACTAAATTGAAAATACAAAAGAATTTAAAATAAAAAATCTTCAGTCTAGAAAATGGTTTGGTTTATTTTGTTTTATGGCATATAAAACCTCAATGGGTTATTTAATGTTGACAAGATCTTTAGGATAGGTTTGTATGAATAGAATATGTATTCTTTGTAAGAAATCAGTTTGTAGATCAGGTTTCATTATTGTATTTTTGTAAAGAGAGTTTTTGTCAAGTGTCAAATATATTGCTGGTAATATTTTTTGTTTCCAAAAATGTGTTGTTGGTTCTTTTACTATAAAAATCTATTTTTATATTTTCATAGTGTTTTGACCCTAGTTGTGGGATTAACTATTTGCCCACATCTGGGACCCTAACAGGTGCTACCACCCTGTTTCAGGGTGGACCTGGGAACACCAGCAATTAAGAGGTGATTCCATGCTCCTCAAAACTTCCTGATCAGAGGCCTTGCTGCTGGATGTAGTTTGTCATACCCAGGACGGAACCCAGTACTAGTTACCTTGTCGGAGTTAACTCCTCCTTTCACTCCGTTAACCCTTTCACCAGGGGTCTCTCTTTCCTGGCTATAAATAGCCAATGACCCTTCGCCTCTATCTCTTTTTTTCCTTCAGGCCTGTGCACTGACACCTTGAGGTAAACTTTCTTATTCCTAGAGAATTTTCAGCTATCAACCTCAAAATGTAGTCGCTAACAAGGGATAGCGTGGAAACACGCTAAGCATAATACACACACATGCACCCACATACAGAATATTCATACACGCACGCACGCACATACAGAATATTCACACACACTTCGTCCTTTGTACTGTTTCCATGTATTGTAACTTGTTATTAATATATATTTTTATATACATATATTATCGGTCTTGTGTTTTGTTTGCTTTCTTTACCTTCTACTTGATTATTTCTCTTGTTGTCTTTGTTACATTTGATATTGTAAAAATTGTAGAGGGTCGGTTTTTATTTCTATTTATAACCAATACAAATTGGCTGACCCACTATAACCTTAGTAAACTAGAATTTTTTTGCAACATGCTTATGCATGTTAAAATCCTCACTCAATTTAGTATTGTTGAAGTTATCACTAACATTTTTTGTTGAGATTTCCAAACTCTACTTTTTGTTTAATTTCTCAAATCAATTGCTTATAAAGTTTATAAAAAATAAAATTTGCTGAATCAGAGAAATGAAATAGCTATTCTTTTTGCCGACATTGTCAAAAATTTTTTTTTTTTTTTAGGCTTCTCATTCTCTTTCCTCCCAGTAACCCCTTGCATCTTAGTGGCATTATTGCCATCTTCTGTCTTTCCTGAAACCTGTTCTTTTATTGTTCTTTCTCCTTACTTATTTAGCTTTTTGTTTTTGAAACATGGTAATTCCCGTGTAGTGAAGAAACCATATTTTAAATCAGTTAATTTATATCACTTTAGTCTACTACTTGTTCTGTACACATTCTGCTAGCTTCAGAGTTCAATCTGAGCTAACAGCTAGTATAACAATTGCTTTATTATATTAAGATGGTTATTATTCTGTAATTTAATATGTTTTAGTGTTTCTTTTGTAATCAAATATCTCAATTGTGCAACCTTCTTGGCCTTGTTTTGTAGGAGGCAATGCAGCTCTCAATGGACTTGTCTCAAATGCAGCCGTTTGTGCTAATGCAGTGAAACATCCTGTCAACCAGTTAGAATATTCTCTGGAATATTCCAAAAGAATTGGAATGACTGTAAGTATCTGTTAATCTTTTAATCTCATATGTAATAAGCAGGTGCTAAATCTGTTAATATTTTAATCTCATATGTGATAAGCAGGTGCTAAAATTAAAATGATTAGAAAAATTCTCTCTATGACATATTTAAGATTCATGCTGCAAAATATTTTTTTATCATTTCACCCCAAAGAAAGCAATAATGCCACCAGAATTAGTTACTCAGAGTGAAAGACAATGAGAAGATTATAGTGAGGAGAGAGGACAAAAAAGAACAGGATTTAGGAAGACAGAAGATGTCAATTGGTGTTGCATTTAATTTTTGAAGATTGTAGTTGGCAGGGAAGCAAGAAATAGGAAGGGACTTCCACAGGCAAGTAGTGCAAGAAAAGAAAGTATTAGTATTGCAACTAGATTTTTCACCAATAAAATAATGAGACCTAGTTGCCAATCTAATAGCATGCTTAAATTCATGTAGTCAAAACACCAAGGAGGAAAAGCTCATCAGAACAATTGTCAGGAAAATATTTGTAGAAAAGACAGAGGGAAGTCATGTCATATTGGTGAGAAAGTGACTGAAGTCGAGATGTCTGGTCAGGATCGATTACATTAGAGATCCTTCTTTAAATATTGTCCAGAAACAGGAGATATATAACAGGAGCAACAGACGAAATATGGCATCAATATTCAATGCACGGACAAATGGTAGATTTATAAATCGGCAAGATGGATTCTGATGAGAAAAATTGTTTGACACAGCACAGTGAACTAACTTTCCTAGTAGTAGACCTAGCAATTAATTCAATATAATTGCTTTATTTCATGTCAGATAAGGTGCAAAGCCTTGATGATGGCAGGCAGAAAAGGCTCTCTGTGGTGATTAAATGAAAACAGTTTTGTTTGGGTGGCTTCAAAATTTACAAGACATTCCTTGCCCAATTAACCACTGATTGGAGATCCTTTTTGAGAGTAGTTGCCAGTTTTACTTTATCAGACATGTTGGACGTACTATTAAGACAGGAGTAAATAGTTGTGCCATCAGTATAAATACTTAGTTGGGAACTGATGACATCAGGAAGGTCGTTGATGAAGATAAGAAACAATATAGGTTCAATTCCATGGAAATTTCAACAGATACAAGGAGCATTCTAACATCACTGGATTGAGCAAGATTTCTATTTCAAAACAATATTTTTCCATATAGTCACCAGTATTAGCCATGCATGTTTGAAATGATTTGCATTTGATGGGATGGACAGTTGTGCACAGCCATTTAGAACATTGCTTGTTGCCCACACCATTGCTGCAAGACATTACACACTGCCTGACCAGTCTCCATAATTATTCAGCAAATGTTGAATTAATGACAGAAGGTGCAATTTTCTTTCATATAGACAAATTAAGTATACACCTGCTTATGCACAATTTCTTGTCAGAGACCATTTTGCTAGATTGCTGTCTGAAAAAGGTAACAAAAAAAAAAATTGATTATTCATGAGAAGGCTGGCCTTCTACTGTCATACTATCAACATTCACATTTGATATCATGGGCAAACATAATAAAATAATAAATTTCATTTGGAGCAACCCTTGTATTATAGTGAATACAATCTTCACTAGGTGCCCCACATTTTTAGCCTTGTACCAGATTAAGCTAAACTTAGTAAATACTTATGGTACCTCGACAGAGTAATGATGATATTTTCAGTGGGTGCTCTGCATTGGTGACTTTGTGCTAGTTTTATCTGTAAGCATACAATGGGGCCCTCACCTAACATTCTATTGATCAACCAATGGCTGTCCCATGTTGCATCTCCATTCTTGTTTGTGGCAAGATAAACCAAAAACTGGGAAGAGTCCACTGCAAGCTCACATTGAAACAAAAGAGGAAAATAAACATGCTGGCAAGAAATGAAGACTCAATTCCTGTTTCAAATATATTTAGGTGTTTATTCAGGATTTCATTTGCTCAGTCTGGGACAATTTCTACTATGTCAATCTAACAGATTAACTCTTCTCTTTGACTCTTCCTCCCTACCAACTCCTCCTCCCTACCAACTCCTCTGTCCATCTTATTATCGCAGCACATGATTGGCAACACAAACAGGCAGCATTGGAACTACCTGAGGGACAGTCTGTTCCCTGCCAAAAGCAAATACAGTCACAACTGCTACTGTTAATATAAACCTGTAGCTGGAAATCATCAGTGCCTACTTTGTTGCACTTGACCCTAAAAGTTTTCATTTATTTATTCTTTTATTCACTTTCAGTCAAGTGGGTGACCACTTTGAAGACCATATCTCACAAAATTATTACTGGTCATAAAACAGGAAAAAAACTTGAGACCAGGATAAAATCTCACACCTTCCTCCTCTTGGAGGGTGTCCCAATTATAAGCTAATTAATTTTTGATTAGTTCTTCCTTCAAAGGATGTGTGGATAACACATTAGTCATTAGAGTGGAAAGTAAAATTGGCAAACTGAGTTCTTGCATTCACTTTTGCACTAATGCACATGGAAAAAGCATGAATCTATCTTCCCTTTCTCTCCTGTTTAAAATACAGGGTAGATGTCTATCTAGTATTGGGTGGTAGCTGGTCTAGGAGAAGAACCATACTAAATTTAAAACCATAGAGAAGGCCACAGGAAACTACTTTCTTAAGAATTCATGGAAATTCATAGATATTAAAGGAAGCTGTAGAGAACCATGATTGTCGATGCCCAGAAGAGAAGTGGCATTTAAAAAAATTAATCTTAATTTCAGATGCTTTTTTTTCGTAACTCACAGGTCATCATACGGCAATTGTAATAACATTTTATTGGAGGATTTTTAATCCTCCAGCATGATTCGAACTTGAACTGTTGATCGTTTAATCAATACAATATTTATTTTTCAGCACACCCATGTTGCTACCAAATGTAACACAAGGTCAAGGTTTAAAGTGGGTTTAACAGCAATACCATGCAAAAATTGCCTAAGCCCCCTCAGCATTTTCCTTTTTGGGGTCACCTCAGACACTGGGCAATAAACCCAGCCTCCTCCCAAAGAAGAGGTACTGCTTAGGTAGAAGGCCTTCTGTGGCTTGGGCTTCATATTTTTTATACTTCCCTAGCATGTGCCAGGCATCCAAAAATTAGGCTGTTAAGAATAAGGCATGTGAGTTCAAGCCTTACTGGAGGTTTTTTCTTTTATTTCTTAGCCATATTTCTTCTTAATTTCTGCAATAGGATGATTTGATTTTTGTAATAAAAAGGTGTGAAGTTGAAAGAAATATTGGTAAAAAGTTCCTAATAAGTTTTTCAATGAAGAAATTTAAAAAAAAAATAAACTAAACATAGTAAATACAAGCGGAAGTACTTGTCTACACCGAGTAATGGGTAAAGATTTAGAACACAGCTGATTAATGATAATAATGCTTTTCCATAGGACTGATGGTAAACTGGTAAGTGGTATTTCCATCAGAATTAGCTTCTGAGAAACTACAGGATGTATTTGTGAGGGAGTGCTGAAAAGTTTTCATATATATATATATATATATATATATATATAAAAACCCTGATGAGTGGCTAGAATGATTGCCAGAGGGTCCTTCTATGAAACTCTGGAGTCTGGATGCTGAAGATAATCTTTTTGCAAAGTGATAAACTTTTCACTTGTATTAATTCTGTCTGTCTGTCTGTCTGTCTGTCTGTCTCTCTCTCTCTCTCTCTCTATATATATATATATATATATATATATATATATATATATATATATATATGAGTGTGAGGGAGTGTTGAAAAGTTCTCATTCTAACCCACTTCCAAATCTGAACAAATATTTAAATATCAGAGTTTTTGGTGGGAGACCTAGGTTGGACCCTCATATAGTCCTAAAATCTGAAAAGTCCATGATTGTTTAGTAAAAAAAATCATTGTAAACAATCTGATGGTATCTGTTGCTAATTGAAAGAAAATGCCAAAGAAATAGACTGCCTATTGGTTCCACGCACATCACTATATCTTGCTACCTAACTTGTTCCATCAGCTGTTGCATAACAAAAGACTACAATTTTCCTCCACTTAGATCAATCTTGTACAAGTCGCTGAGCCTGGAACCAGTTGGGGTTTATTTTTCTCAGTTCTTCTTCAACTATAGTGCATTAACATTATTATACATAAGTAATTAATGAGTCCCTGTTGAGTGAATTATTATAAGAAAAGCGTAACATCTTTTTTGTCGTTAGAATTTTTGTTTAATGAAATAAAGCTTAATTAAATTCATTCCACATAAATTCTTATCTCAAAGTGAAATAAACAAAATACAAAAGTAAGAAAGGTCAATTTCACAAACTTTGAGGTCAATTGGAAATTTTTCGTTATCATAGATTATTTTCAGAATCACTATCCAGGAAAAGTGGAAAAAAAAATCTGTTTTTTCAAAGCAAAGAAAATCTTGTTACCATAAAAAATATTTCCAGACGACAGAAAAGTGGTAAAGCCCATCACCTCACCCCATGAAAAATAGTTGTTTTTTTTTTTTTAAGCCTTAACATAAAAACATTGTTAAGGATTTTACAATAGTAATACATTGAAAATCATTTGTTTGTAAAATTAGCTGAAAGATTTTTTTGAAATGTGTAATGCAATAAAAAGCAGCAGTCGTTGCATAATCTCTATGGATCCTTGCGCAACCCTTGTTTAGAGAGTTATTTTTGATGAAGACCTTTTGGTTGAAACCTCTTGCTTAAGGTATCCCTATTGTAGCATCAGGGCCACATGGGTAAGAATGGTCCTTCTCCTAGACTAATTGCCAATCACAGCTAGAGAGCCCAGTCAGCCCTGTTATTTAACCCATAGCTGGTGGGGAGAAGAGATTGATTCATACCATATCAAGGGTATTTGCATGTAAGTGAAAAGTAATGAATTCAATTGGAATTTAGACTCAACACACAAAGTTGCTCTCCATTACGTCACCTGCACATCACAAAAAGATTAATAATTGTTCAAAATTTAATTTAAGCCGGGCAGTTTTGGAT